CTTTGAATTTTTAAAAGAAATTATTTTGAAAATTTAAAAAGTCAAAATTAAAATGTTTTATTAAAATTAAAATTATAATTAATTAATCAGTCTTATGCGTTGCTTTTTCTAAAAATTAAAAGTTGTTGTGGGTTTGTAAATTCTTTGCTACTCTTTATTTTTTTTGATTTCAGTCTTTTCAGCAAACCTTTTTGGAATTGCAAAAGAACAAAAATCTGAATTTAAGTCTTCTCAGTAAATCAAAAATTAGAAATTACAAAAGATCAAAAATCCAAAAATCTTAACTATGGAACACCAATTACAAAATGTATAAAGAGAAAGGTTGTACTTACTAGGCAAAGCTAATAACAGCAGTCTTTCTTCACACGTTGTTTCTTGTTATTCCTTTTACTCAGTTAACCAATTCGAAGTGGACAGTATCTGGAACGTTTAATAGCAGCACTGATAATCCAAATTCCACTTTTCCGAAGAATTCACTTTTTCGAACTTCCTTCAGTCTTTTGAAATTTTCGCGACGGATTACGACTGTATCAACTCCCGAAACTTAAGCACTCTGAGCATCCGAACGACTGCGCCAATTATATTTTCGATTCAGAAACTTGTATTTTAAAAAACATTTATTTTATTGATTAAAATACAGAGGTGACAAAAGAAAATAGTTGGATCAAATTGCTACGGCTAAAGCTTAAATAAACATTTAATGCCGACATAGCAATTTGATGTTTACTTTACAACAATGTATTTAAAAACTCCTACAGGAAAGGGGTAAGCACATTAAAGCATATAAAAAAATAGATAATTGATTATAAATCAGCATGGCAATTGGTTAATATAACTGGTACAGCAAACAACAACAACAACAACTCATTACTGATTAATTTTATTTATTTTTTTGATGTTTGATCTGCCTTTGCACTTCACCAAGTATAGGCAACGAAGACCAAAATAGGCCGAATAGGGGAAATAATTCGTGCATGAGAAGCTTTTGGTTTATATGGTGAGGTGTCTCCAACAACATACTAAAAGTCCTGATGAGTGGGGGGCGAGCTAAGATAGAGGGGGGACTTTGAAACTCTCTTTTCTACGTTTTTCTTGAATAACTTGGAAACTAGAGCTTCTAGCGATGAAATTTTGAAGTACCTACCTACTAAATTATTCTACAAAAAAGTTTTTACATATTATTTTCACGCTAGAATAGGGGGGATAGGAATACAGAGGGTGTCACAAATTCACAAGTAAGTATGGGGATCTCGGTAACCATAAGAGATACAGGGTCGGTCCAACTAAGGCAAAGTAACGCAATTTCTTGCTCACCAAAATGCCGTTTCGAAATTTCGAATACATACCTACTTTCGGAAATATTCGGAAAAAATCGAAATTTTGCAAAATAATTTTTATCGTATATTTTCCTGAGCTTATTTGAAGAGATACTTACTTCAAAATAGAGTGGTTTGGCAATTGAAGAGTACGAGGCTATAAATTTCCTAAGCAAGCAGGAAGCACAAGAAAGGACTAGCTGTACCTGTTTGGTGGTCGTCAGCTGCGGTCGCTGCGGAAATTTGAAAATTACCATGGGTTTTCTCTCTCGAAGGTTGCAATCGTCCATGTTCAATAATGAATCCTGAAAATTTAACCCTCTTCTTCAAAATTTTACATTTCTTTCTTTTGATCTCAATTCCATAATATTAATTTGGCTACCTTCAATACCATCTTTAGTCTTTGGATCTTCTTCTTCGTTATTACTTACAATAAATAAATCGTCCATATAATACAATACTATGTCCTAAGTCGTCAATTCTCGGAAAATATGTGCTATAAATCTTTGGAAAACAGCTGGGCTTTTGCACAATCCAAATGGTAATTTCAAAAATTCAAACTGACCATGATGAGTCACGAAAGCAGTATATTCAATGCTGTTTCCAGCCAATGGAACATGGAAAAAAACCATTTCGTACATCAAAGGTGCTTAGGTAGTTCGCCCTCTGCAGCCGATCTAACACATCTTCAAGGGAAACCTGTCTTTAACTATATTCTTGTTTAGTTTCCGATAATCACAGCCAATTCTTGTCTGTCTGTCCGTCTTTTTAAGTCACCAAAACCATGAGACTAGCAAATGCCCATGAACTAGGTCTTACAATGCCTTCTTCTGTCCGTTCCTGTATTTGCTTTTCAACAATTAATTTCTCTGGTCTATCGTCTTGCGTTTTTCTGATCTGTACTCTTCAAACATTGTCCTTATAAATTTTCTCCGTTTTGGATCTTCTATATGACTGGTTTTCTATTTCTTCTAACGATAATCACCTTTTTTTCGCCCTTTCGAGCCCATGTTCTGCACTGAAGCTCATTGTGGATTATTGTATATTGTACATCATTTACATGGACTCTACTCCTTTCTATTCATACTGGAGTCTAAATTTACGTGAATCCCGCAGCCTAAGATGGTCCGATTCGCAATCCATGGTCGGCCATTCAGACTCCACCGACATCACGCAAGCCTGAGAAAGTCCTTCCACATGCTCTCGCCAATCCCGGTTAAACACCACGAACAACCATGCCCTAGCCGGGATTCAAACCCGCAGCATGCGAAGCAGATACACTAACCACTAGCCTGCCTAGGTCGGCTTAAGCATTAGTTATGGCATCACATCAATTTTTAACGTGACTTCTTTTTCATCAATAGTCACCTCTCGTTGGAAAGATCCTAGCGTGGATACTTCATTCAGACCAATTCCTTCAATCAAAATCGAATCTTCCAGTATGGTGTCCTGGAAATATTCTTCAGTACATCTTCTCGTACAGTACTTATATCACTGCTGGTAACTAACGAGGCTCTTAATTCAACCTCGTTGAACTTTTCTTTCACACTAGTTCTTGATACAATCTCGATGGTACTGACAATGTTGCCACTATTTTTCTTTAAACATTTCGATGGTATGTGTCCAGGGACACTTTATTCGTTAGGACAATTAGGTCATGTCCTATGGGCCACTAGAGAATGAAGGCCAACTGCTGGCCTTCAATTTATAATATAAAATATAAAAGCCCACTATACTAAAAACATCGACTTGTTTAATAGCGGGACTAGCATATATTTCAATACTCTTTAATTCTTATAATTCACACTGCACAAGCACATTTGGTTTGACCAGAGTGCACTGCCTGACGTTACGATGCTCTGGAGTCGCTCCGCTCGCTCCATCGAGCATCAATCCGGAACACGCCCTAGAGTAATCGAGCTGCGCTGAATCGCCGTCGCGTCATTAGCGCAGCACGGGCACGTGGCAACTGGCAACGACTACAGCAGGAACCTGTTAGTCTTTGCGCTGCTTTGCAAAATTGTAAGTTTCTTTGAGCTTCTTCTAGAGCATCCAGGAACTTAAGCAGTGTCTTAAGGGTCCAGTGTACCACGAAGTCGTGCCTTGTTGTTGTGGAGCTTGAAGGACATGCACAGGCAACAGGCAGACGAATTTTCCTCAGAGTTGCAACCCTTTATGCATCTTTTCCTCGCTAATGGATTTGATCCCAAGCCATGCAGCTGTTCTTCCGAAGCACCCATCAGTACACTTAGTCCCCAGCATCCATATGTGGTGATTGGTAGACTGGGAGCTCAATGCCATCATTTTCTTTTAGGACCTTCCGACCATATAGCATTCTTGTTCCATCATTTTGTAGTACCTTTCTTTGATTTTACCGAATACTTCTTGGCAACATTTTTCTTCATATTCTGCCAGGTTAGTATAGTTTGAAATCGTCTGAATTATTTTATTTAACCCTATAAAAAAAACAATCACTAATGAAAGGCCATACCAAATAATTGACCTACGGGCCAGAGAAAGGTTAAAGCGTCACTGTATGTGTCCATAACTCCATACCCATTGCAATTAAAACATTCTTTTCTTTTGTTTTTATTCGGACACTCATTGGATTTATGGCCCTTCTCACCACAATTGTAACAACTTATTGGTAGTCGCAACCCTTTACTGTAAAGTGTCCTATGTTTGGATGTGATTATATATTTTTTGATAATGTCTTAACTTTTTTTAAATTTTATTTTCTTAACTTTTCAATGTTTTAGCTTCGTTTTTTTTCCTCTGCCAAAATGTGGAGTTTAGTGACCTCTAACACTTGGTAATATGTGGGCAAACTTGCCCTTGAGGATGAGGATTTCTATCCTCGAAAAATGTAGGCCTCTTTAACATGATTAAAGTAGTATTTTGTGAAGGAAGTCTTTATGTTTTTCTTTTGGAATTAAATTTCAATTCCACTTTGAGAGATGGACTACTTCTTCAATTTATAGTTTTAATAGTGAATCAGACTCAAAAATTTACGACGAGACATTAGCTAGAAGTCGGGAACTAACGATCGTTTTTAGGACACTATTGATAATACAACGATTGTGAGAAACAGGGGTTGGGTTAGTTAGCAGTACTTGACCATATAGAAAATCGAAAATTTCATGTAGAATTATTTAGTACTCTCATATTTTTTGACTAAAAGCCGTGGTTTTCGAGTTATTTACGGAAGACTTAAAAAATACCTTAGAAGACACTACCCACCACATTAGCTCGCCCCAAACTCACCAGGACTTTTAGTATGTTCTTTAAGGATACCTTCACCTACATCTGTGCCAAAGTTGGCTTCAACACGATTTTTTTCTTCTATTTTTCCTTCGTTCTCTGGTCGAAGCGTATTCATCAGTGTTCGCCACTAAAGACATTGTAACTTTAAATTATCTAAGTATCCTCCAAATGAATATTTTTCCAAATTCTCCCCAGGAACATCCGATATAATTTTTTTGTAATATTTGTTAAATTGTTAATAAATTATTGCGTTCGGGTACACATTCGTTAGCCTTATCTTCTTGTTACTTCAAATACTGCGTCACTTCTTCCTCCGAATTTATCTGACAAATTTGAGTTCTGTTCTAATGTACGACCTGTGTAGCTTTAGAATCTTTTTTTTTGTAGCACACAATAGTATTAAAACACAATTTCTTTCAGAAAGTCGTGAAGCAGCTTACTTGAACGCAATTTCAGCTGCCTCAGTAGCCTACTCAGTGGCCAGAGCCTGTACGAAAGGAGAATTATCAGAATGGTGCTCGTGCGACAACAAAATAAGGTATTTTTCAAATATACATTCGCGACATATTTGATGTGTATTTGTTATTGGCCAAGATCAATAATTGAAAATAAGTTAATTTCAGACAAAGAAAAACGACAAAATGGAAATGGGGCGGTTGTTCGGACGATATCAGATACGGTGAAAAATTTTCCAGGGAATTTCTGGACGTGCGAGAAGATCAGAATACTGCTTTGGGATTGATGAATTTGCATAATAATGAGGCTGGTAGGAGGGTGAGTAAGTTCGGATTTTTTTATAAATTTGAATTATCTACTTGAGCCCTGAACATTTTGCATAATACTTTTACCAAAATTATCAAACGCTTCACATAATAATCATACTTACGATGATGATGCAAATTATAGGGGTGTACCTTCATCTGACATGAAGCAAAAATGTACAGAAAATCATATGGTGAAAGTAATTTTTAATTTTCAGGCGGTAAGATCAAGAATGCAAAGAACTTGTAAATGTCACGGCGTCTCGGGATCTTGCAGCACGCAAATCTGTTGGAGACGCTTACCAACACTTCGGAAAGTGTCCGAAGGACTACATAAAAGGTAAATTTAACTTCAAACTGAAAAAACTCGTAACTATATTGTATAAAGTTATTTACCATTCTTAGTAAATTTCAAACCCCTCTATTTCTAGCTTTAATAGATTTCTATATAAAATTGTAACTTTAACGTCTCTTGAGACAGCCAGTTTCAATATAGAGGCTTTATTTATATTCTAAAAATACCCTAAAAACATATTTCAGATACGAAGGAGCATCGCATGTAAAATACGTAGAAAGAAGACGAAAGAAATTAAAAGTCATTAGCCCTGACTTTAAAAAACCGAATCGAACCGACCTAGTTTACTTGGAGGATTCTCCTGATTATTGTGAAAAGAATGACACGTAAGCCATAACTTTCCTTTGGAAAATTACAAGTAACTCAAAAACAATTCTCATTCCAGGCTCAATATTTTGGGTACGAGAGGTCGTCTCTGTAACGTTACAAGTCAAGGAATCGACGGCTGTCCTCTTCTCTGTTGTGGAAGAGGCTATCAGACTCGAGTGAAAGATGTTGAAGAAAAGTGCAACTGTCATTTTGTGTGGTGTTGTAATGTCGTGTGTAATACGTGTCGGTCGAGAAGGGAAGAACACGTGTGTAATTGAGTAGTAATTTGTTGTCTTTTGTGAGATAATTGAGTATCATGAAACGGATGAATGTGATCTGATCATGTGCCAAAAGGAATAGACATGTTAATTTGTTAATTTATGATATTCAGCTGCAAAAGAGGCATTCAGATATTTATTTGTGTGTAAGACCGATGTCGAATAAACTTAAATGAAGAGATAGATCGATCTAATAACTAACTACCTACATTATGATATCTACAAACACATGTTAAGTAGGTAGATTCCTATCTACAAAATTGGAAAGAATATTAATGGCCGTCCATAGTCCAAAAACTGCATTTTCACTGATGTTGATCAATAAATAATGGATTGGTCAAAGTTCGTACCGATTTATGTGATAGTAAAACTTTGATAGAGAATTGAATTCAAACAATCATAAGCAACGAATATTCGTTATAGTTTTTATGATTGTTGAAAAATAGTTCACAAAAGTTGAAATTCTTTTGAAACCCTCGAATAGGTACTTTTATACTTATTTATACCAACATAGTTATACAGTACTTATCTATCAACTGATAATAAATTCTAGTATATTTGAGACAATGTGGAACTTGTGGAAGTTTCCTTTGTTGAATGCCGATTAGTTTGGGTAAGTTAAAGAATGTTATTTTGAGAGATTTTTCTACTTAGATGTTTATGTTATATTTGTACTTGCTGTTCCTGTTCTATCAACTCTTGTAGATGCAACACAAGCATAACATATCTACAAATTTCTTAAAATTCTCCAGAGCCAATAGCATCCCAACTGATAATCAAATAATAAGCACCTAATAAAATTTTTCTGCTATGACTATGTTCAAAACAAAAATAGAGCAAAATATCCCTTCATTATTTGTTAACATTGTAGAATTTCATCGTAAAGGGAATCAGATCATGTTCATCCTTCCTGATAAGATTTAAAAATAAGTTTTTCAATTCATTATTTGCTTGAGCGAAAACTTCAAAGTTTTAAATCTTCTCAGACGAAACCAGAATAGTCTTGAATCCGAAGCTTTATTTATTTTTTATTAATGATAGCCTATACATATCTTTCTACCTAAAATAATTATTCTTGCATTTAGATTTTTCACATTCGCTTTTTGTACTATTTATATACCTACTTAACAATCTAGATACAATTTTTATATGTTTTGAACTTGTTAAATCACAATAAAAATTATCTATTGAAAGATCTGATATTTTCTAACCTTTTCAAATGTACTTAAAATTCGTATGTATGTACTTATTTAAAATTATTTAAGTAACTTTAAACGTAGACTCTTTGTATATAGTATTGTAACGACTCTCCATTTTGTTTTTCTATTGAACAATTCGTACAGGCCCTTTCTTATATATTATTATCCCCATTCAGCTACAATGCATAACAATATTTTCCAAAAAAGTCAAGCCTGAGAGTCGCAAAACACACAACTTAGAATTAAAAAAACCCATTTTGTATTTTACGAATTTATATAGAGCTCTGTAAATAGAATTTTTAATATATTTGATATAGTCTGTAAGTCCTTTTTTTAGTAGCTAGTGATTTATAGATATTGTAAATAGTTTCTGTTTTTAGTGTATAATGTAATAGGCGCTTTTGATCACATCATCTGAAACAGTACAGATTTTTAAATGGTGCCATAAAACTGAACAATTTTGACATCAAATTTAAGCATTCTTAACACAGATAACTATTAAAAGGCCATTATGTCTAAGATTTATTTGATTACAGATCATGAGCCATTGATTAGTTGACTTGACAATCAATGTGGTGAAACCTAATTTATCTCGAGCAAGCCGAAAATGATGTTTCTCTGTTTGATAAATGTAAATATCTTGCCAACGAATCTGCAAATAACCCATTACAGTTTCCTGATGAACGTTAAAAAAAATATCCCTTGTGTAGACTTTCAAAATGTAACCCGATGATATTATTATAAAAGTACCTCTTAGAAAATTGACTTTGTACTATTGTATTTATTAATTTAAATGTTGATTGTATGAATATATGCAGTATTATTAAAATCTTTGTGTAGAAATTTTAATTGTTTTATTTGAATAATTGTTTGAGACTGAGAGGAACTTTTCCAATGTCTGCTAGTCTTGTAAGCTTGCAGTAGAAAATGTTGAAAGTATAATTATGAAACCGAATTATGCACTTGTCTCCAATCGATATTTTCAGTCTCTTTTTGCAATTACCTTTTTAAAAAAATAATTGCCAGTTATGCAAATTATGGCAAAACATTTTATTAATTATTATTAAAGTGAGACGTATCAAATTTGCACCCTGCTGCGATGACGGGAACATTTATAAACAAGTGTTTATTAACTTCAACTATAGCTAAAACAGTTATGAAAACAATAATTTTATTGCTCGTGTGACCTCAAAAGAATAAATGGTCTCTTACTACAAGTTTACAAAATCTTACAAACTTTTTTTCTGAGAGGATTTTTTTCTGTGGGGAACATTAATTTTTGCGTTTGTTTGTTGGTGAATTGATCAAATAATATTTAATCTCAATTTACAACCCCTTACCATAAGTGTAATTGAAATGTCCAAAAATTGGTCATTGTACGATTCTAGTGTAGTTCTTCCAGTCAGTGACGCTTTTATCTTTCTCTGGCCCGTAGGTCAATGATTTGGTATGGTCTTTCATGAATGATTGTTCTTTTTTATGGGGTTTAATAAAATCATTCAGACGATTTCAAACTACTAACCTGGCAGAATATGAAGACAAAAAATGTTGCCAAGTAGTATACGGTAAAATCAAAGAAAGGTACTACAAAATGATGGAACAAGAATGGTCACAAAACATGCTATATGGTCGGAACGTCCTTAAAGAAAATGATGGCATTAAGCTCCCAGTCTACCAATCATACCACATATGGATGCTGGGGACTAAGTGTACTGATGGGTGCTTCGGAAGAACAGCTGCATAGTTTGGGATCAAATCCATTAGCGAGGAAAAGATGCATAAAGGGTTGCAACTAAGAGGGAAATTCGTACCACTTTGCCTGTGCATGTCTTACAAGCTCAACAACAACAAAGCACGACTTCGGGGTACACTGGACCCTTAAGACACTGCTCAAATCCCTGGATGCTCCAGAACAAGTTCAAAGAAACTTACAATTTGGCAAAGCAGCGCAAACACTAACAGGTTCCTGCTGTAGTCGTTGCCAGTTGCCACGTGCTCGTGGTGCGCTAATGACGCGACGGCGATTCAGCGCAGCTCTTCAGTGCAGCTCGGTGACTCTAGGGCGTTTTCCGGATTGATGCTCGATGGAGCAAGCGGAGCGATTCCAGAGCATCGTGACGTCAGGCAGTGCACTCTGGCCAAACCAAATGTGATTGTGCAGTGTGAATTATAAGAATTAAAGAGTATTGAAATATATGCTAGTCCTGCTATTGAACAAGTCGATGTTTTTAGTATAGTGGACTTTTATATTTTATATTATAAATTAAAGGCGCAGTTGGCCTTCATTCTCTAGTGGCCCGTAGGACATGACCTAATTGTCCCAACGAATAAAGTGTCCCTGCTTCCAGCAAATTTAAATCCAGATATCCTTTTGTCTTTTATTTGACATAAAGGTTTGAATAATTCTATATGTTGTAAGGTCTAAGAGCAAATTTATTCCCTACTAATTCTTTCAATATTTCATCAATTGGATTGATTGATTCATTAAAATCTCATTCATGCAGTTGTTGAAATCTCCAAAATAGAAAGTAGATATGCCATTGTTGCATGTCTATAACCTATATGTGATGGTTGCTCCAAGGTAACTTGTAACTTGTAAGAAATGCGCGAAATTGACATCCACCGAAGTAGACAGCTTATTAATACTGGAACAGAGACAAATACATTTTTACTGTTTTGATTGTAGAAAGGAAAGACTTAGCTTGAATAAAGACGTCAAATACTTGAATAGAGCATACAAAAAGATAATTTTAGACTTGTTAGCAAGGGATAAGCAAATTGAGGAAATGCAGTGTCACAGTCAGATATTGCAAGAAAAAATAAATGATCTAGAAACTAGGCCGACTAATAAAGAAATGTGTATTGAAAGACTGAAGAAGGGTTCACAAGCGGGAACTAGAGGCGAAACTACACTGCCAGACAAAAACCATGCAAGGCTAAAAAACGACAAGTTGAATAAATTGAAAAAGGGACTTCTCGCGCTGATCAACTTTGAGCAGGAAAGAACTACAGATGAAAAATCACTTAAAGCGAAACTTCTTACTGCCTTACTAAGAAGGTTGCAACAAAATCAAACACCTTTAAATTAGAGACTGAAGCTCTATCTAGTGAACTAAAAGCTATCAGAATAAAAAATCTACAGGAAAGATTCTTTCAAAGAATACTGTAATTGAAACTCTTCGTAATGATATCACTAGTTTTAATAGGAGGATTGAAGAAATCAGTAACTCCCAATATAATACTTTCCACATGGAAATGCTTACTCCCCTTAATCAGGATCCAAATCCAAATTAAACAACTAGCTCTTCTGTTGAAACGAGTACTGTGTCAATAACTACCCCACCTTTGATAAGTCACACAGATGGCAACTAAATTAGGAAACCAAACATCGTAGTTTTCACTGACAGCTTTCACAGGTTTCTACATTTGCACCTTGATAAGATGCTCAAAGAATTTAACGTAAAAACCATAAGCAAACCTGAGGCCAGTTGTTCACAAATAGTTATAGACATGGACTGTTATATTAGGGATATGTTAACTACGGACTACGTTATATTTCTGACTGGCTAAGGGCCGAATTTATAGTCGGCCCTTGAGGTTTCCTCAGACCTTAAGGAAGCCTTGAACGTTAAGAATTGACATGACTAACTTGTTAAATAGTAGCAACTGTCCATTCTAAACTCGCGACTTCAAGGAACGGCTATAAATTTGGCCCTTAAACACCGTAGGCATCAAAACATTCTGCCGCCCAATCTAGCCATATCTCGGAAATCTGACCATTCAAATTCGATGTGGCTATTTTGAGCGGCATAATGTTACTAGATGGGCTAGATCAGGGATCTGAATGTCGGGACGGCACTTGTCCGTTAGAAGTGCCGCATGCTTTGTTTATTTCCTGCTCATTATTGCTCTATTGAAATTTATATGAAGACATTTTAATATTTATTCATGATAAAGATGGATGCAATGAAACTACCCACAACGTTTGTTTATTCTAATGTGAGTGAAAACACTGATCGTGCAAACTTGTTATCCAAAAACGACATAAAAATTAATTTGGATTGAAGACTTTGAAAAGTTAACCTCAATAATTATAGTCTATGTATATATTATAATGTATTTATTTATTTAAATTTCTAAATATTTTGTTGATGATACCGCTAATATACTTTTTCTAAGGGTTAATTTTATAAAAATATTTCTTATAAAAATATCTTCATATTTTAGTAACAAGAGGTAACTAAAAATACGAGCTTATTCAGAAAATTAAAAATAAGCGAAGGAAATTTTACAAAAACGCGTCTTTAGAAAATTTGGAACTCAAATTTTAAATTATTAGGTATTCAGATTTTGCTAAATCTATTTGTTAAATTTAATACTATAATGCTCTATCGCCTGTAACATTCTGACCCTGAATCTAGCCTATGCAATAACATTCTGACCCTTCAAATAGTTCCATCATCGTACCGACATTCTGACTCCTGATACAGCGCATGTAGTACCTACATTATGCCACCCAAAATAGCTGAATAACTAACTAGCAATTTACGTTCCTCAACGCCTTTATGCCCGATTTCAAACCAGCCCTTCAACTCCTGAAAACCCCATTGAACAGGTTCCAATTAGTTTTTCAGGCCCACCGCCGGAAATAAGTATGGAACTCCACTCGTAGGGAGTCAATCTGAATGCTACTACCAAAACACCAAGGGCTTGGGTAAGTACCATGTCACACGCCTTCAAGAATTGTGTGTCATCTTTAAATTACGACGCCTTCATAATAACTGAGACATGGTTGAATCAGGCTTTTTCTAGTAGCGAGTACTTCGATGAACGGTACCAAGTTTTCAGACATCATAGGGACTATGATAATATACCAGAAAATTTAGGTGGAGGAGCTCTAATTGCTCTTTCAAATCAAATTCAAGCATCGTTGATTTCAACATTGATTAATTTGATATGGGGAAAAAAAAACCTTGGTGGAATATGTCCATCAAATTGTAGTATAACTATAACATACTATATATAACTTTAACATACCCCGGTTGCATGTTCATTTTCTGCCAACGTAATAGGATCTTCGGCTACATTCGTGTTCGTTCGAGCACAGAGTAGGCAAATTATGATTGAAGTGGACTAACGTTGGCAGTTTAGAGCCTGCCTGGCGTTCGGGAAAATATTCTCTAAATAAATTCAGTTGGAAAGTGGCAGTTATTGTTAGCTGGTGCTGGTACGTTTTAATGCGAAATGCGAAAACGAATGAAGAAATTTTATTGAAAGTTTAAAAATTAATCATTGTGTCTATTCAAAGGCCCCAGAACTTTTTTGGTAGATTTGAGTTAGTTTCGGTTGGTTTGCGTTAGTATGGGTTATTTTTGGTTGGTTTGGGTTAATTTTGGTTAAAAAAACGCACTAGGCGCTGTTTCTATTTCCTTTTTTCAAGCAAGTTCATGAAAAGTACCTAATCCAAATTAACCCAAACTGACCCGTGCTGGAAATGCGACCCAATCTCTGTTTCTGAAGCTGATCAAATAGCAAAAAAAGAGCGCGTATAAAAAATAGAGCGCGTCATGTATGTATTATTAAATTTCGAATAAATATTATGAGTCATGAAGATGGTTTCTCTGACGTTGTGCGACAGAAACACAGTTCAGCTGAACATTTATTTTACAACAACAAGAAGAAAAAAAAAATCGTTTGTATTTTGAACTTTTCATATTTTCGACATATTAGGCACAGATATTAGTAATAGGCATTCCAACGATCTGTCAAAAAGTGCGTTGTGGCGGAAGTTCATTATCCCGTATATGAGAGTATGTAATTTAGAGCTTTTTAAAGTGCATTT